TTGGTGTTTGTGTTAAAAGTTTGATTTAAAAATCTTAGTGATAAGCAATAATACTCTGTTTACTCTCATTGCATTATTTTGTGACATTTCAGGGTATTGGACCGTTTAGTGGACATGAGAGGTGTATGTGTGATTTGTTTAGTTATGTTTGTAAATTTTACCAAATTGTGTATATTTTTGTGTTTGTTGTTTGGTTTGCTTGAGGACAAACATCATTAGGGTTTGGACCGTCACGATGGGCTATGTGAATGAAAGTAATTCAATATTTGAGTCCCAAAGTTTATTTTGATCGATTTATTTACTAATGTAATTAAATCTACTTTCTTTGATTTTAATTAGCGTCAAATTTCTAGATTTTAATTTATGGACCCTAAAGCTTTCGCATATCAGTTTATTGTTCAAGATATTTAGTTGGAGACTTTTATTGCACTAATAAAATTTAAAGAGATGTTAGTTTTGTCTCCTATTATTATTTACTCAATTAATTGTTTAAATATTTTGGTAGCTTGTTAGTCACCAAAGTGGTCTGGCTAATTTATTTAAATAATTTTGTTCACATATATTTACTCACTTAAATTTCTAATGGTAAGATAGTTTGTTAATTACCAAAGTGACGTAACTAGTTTGGTTAATTAGAAATTTTGATTGAATAGATCAAACTGATCATAATTAATCTACTTTTAATGAACATTTGAGTTTAAATATTTACGTATAAAGAGGGCAGGGGACAGTGGTGGTGGTGGTATGTGCAGACTAGTTGATCACGTCTACTGGTGTGTTGATGATGGCAGAGGTTAGGGTGGGAAGGGGTTGCGGTATGTGCACGCAAGGGGAGTGTAGGAACAACGAGGCTATAGATTGGGGAGGACGGGTAGGGGCGAGACAAAGGGTTGGGGGCAGGGGACAATGGTGGTGGTCTGAGGTGGCTAGCCCATTGTCGAGACATGTGTTTGGTTGGGGGTTTAGGGTAGTGGTAGGGGTGGGTGTAGGGGTGCTGGGGGTAGGGATGTTGAGGCAATGAGGAATACAGTGGGGCAGGGATTGGTGTAGAGGCTTGGGACAATGACTAGACGTTATGCAGGAGAGGCCGAGGGTAGGGAGTAGTGACGATCTCGGTAAGAGTGCTGTAATTGTTCCAAGTCATATGTAGAATTCGACCCATTTTACTTTCCACTTCTTCTTGCTATTGCTTGTGTTTGATATCATCTAATCCACTTACAAAAAGAGAAATGATCCACCAAAATCTAATGAAAGCCCATAGGAACGTGTTGGGCCCTTGGATCACGAGGAATAAATTTCAACACTGGCAAACTAAACAAAAATTTCAACACTGGCACCGTCTGTGGGAAACTAAACAAAAATTTCCTGAGCAAGCTCTTGTGCTAGATAGCAATTTACAAACCCGAAGTTACAATCATACAACACAAATGGCCAGACAATCATCCTAGCTGATTGTCTACGGTGACCTCTTCGAACAATTGCTTGAAAATCGAATATCACGAACCCAGACCTACGGTGAGCCACCAAACAACGGTTGGTCAAACCTAGGCAGGCTGGAAGACCTCACCCACCTGATCCAAGCTGATGCCCGTGGGGACCCGCTGGTCATGAGGGCGCTGGTTAAAACTCTAAGAAACCATGCTAACCAGAACTGCACACCGCCAAAATGAAGCACACCCCTCCATCGCCCGTTCGGCGTATGCAAACGCTCGATGGAAACACTGGTGGTCATTCAAGAAGAAAAAGATAATGCCATGTTTCCACATGTCAGACACATCAATAGTAACTCGAACACCAACAAACGACTTGAATATATAGTTGGTGACACAGTCACTAATGATAATAATGAAGGCGTAGTTGGTGAACAAGAGTCTAATGAGCATGTTGAGACCACTTCAAATGAACATGTCATCACTCAAGGAAATGATAATTTGCCAAAAGGAATGACGTTAAGAAAGGTCATAGGGGTGAGCATGGAACGGTACGGGACGGTTATTTCAAAAAACCTGTCCCGTTCCAAAGTACGGTTCTTTTAAAAATCAAGAACCGGTACCGTCCCGCACATATATGGAACCTGTCCCGTTCCGTACCAATTTTCAGCACGGTTCGGTACGGTTCGGTACGGTTCTTCGGTGTTATTTGGTTTGCAAATAATTAACCCCAATGAAATATAATTAACCCTATTTACATAGCATTGTTAATATCATTTAGTATTGTTTTTGTTTTAAAGCTAACTTTTAGTGCTGTCAAGTCTTAATAATTGGATTACACCCAAATAATATGCAAGATTGCATATTTGTAATATATGGACATACGATTCCTTACACTTATACTTGGTAATATGTTATATATAATATACGTAGTATTATTACTCGTATATTATAACACTAGTTTTCGGGACATATGGTCACTAACATTTATACTCGGTAATACATTATGTATAATATATTATTATAATCTAACACTAGTTTTCGGGACAATTCGGGACGGTACGGGACGGTTCGGGACAATATGGTTCCGGGACGGTTCCGGAACGGTTCTCAGTAAGAACCGGTACCGTACCATATTATTAAAAAAGCTCGGTACGGTACAGTACGGTTTTACATTTTTCCGGTTCTATCGGTTCTGGAACGGTTCGGGACGGTTCTTTGGTACGGAACGGGAATTCCCAGATCCGTGCTCAGCCCTAAAAGGTCATCTAGGGAAAAAAGATTTGTTATTCCAGATGACTATTTACTATATTCTGTTAAGCATGAGCGTGACTTGAGCATTGCTGAGGATCTAGTCTTATTTGAGGAAGCCATGAATAGTAAAAAACTCGGATAAGTGGATTGATTCCATGAATGAAGAACTTGAATTCATGTATGATAATAAAGTAAGAGATTTAGTTATGTTGCCTGGTGAATCCAAAAGGTTGGCAATTTTAGTCATATATGTTGATGATATATTGCTTGCTGCGAATGATATGATCATGATGTATGATGTTAAGAAGTTCATTTTTAAGAACTTTAGGATGAAAGATATGGGTGATGCATCCTATGTTATTAGAATTCAAAAACATTTCAAAACCGCTCACAAGGAATTTTGGGTATATCAGAAAAGCTACATCAATCATATCTTAGAGAGATTTAATATGGAAAATTGCTCTTCAGGTGTGGTTTCAATTCAAAAGTGGACAAGTTTAGTTTATTACAATGTCCTAAAAATAAATTGGAACGTCAAGAGATGGAAACAATTCCTTATGCATTAATGGTTGATTTTTTGGGATATGTTCAGACTTGTACTCGTCTCGATATTAGTTTTGCTGTTGGAATATTGGGACGTTATCAAAGTAATCATGGAACGGACCACTAGACCGTTGCAAAGAAAGTTTTGAGGTACTTGCCAGGCACCAAAGATCACATGCTTGCATTGAAGATATCTAATCATATTGATGTGATTGAATATTCAGATTCAGACTTTGCTGAATGTGTCGATAGAAGAAAGTCAACATCTAGTTATCTGTTCATATTAAATGAAGGAGCAGTATCTTGGAAGAGCAGTAAACAAACCATTATTGCTACTTCCACTATGGAGGCAGGATGTGTGGGATGCTTTGAGGCCACTGTTCATGGTTTGTAGCTGCAGAATTTTGTTTCAGGATTTAGGATTGTCGACAGTATAGTTAAGCCGCTGATAAATTGTTTGTGATATTTCTGCAACATTCTTCTTCACAAAATATGATAGGTACACTAAAGGTGCTAAACACATAGATTTGAAGTACTTGTCAATAAAAGAAGTTCAAAAACATAGTGTTTATTGAGAGGATTGTCGCCCAAGATTTTTAACAATCATGTAATTAGTATGAGTGTTGTTGATAAAGCCTAGTTATGATAATGTATTGTCAGTGTTATATGTTTGCTCATTTTTACAAATTATTGTTTTTACACATTTGAATTCAATAAATGTTGTGTTTCTGTTTTACTTGTTATCTATTTGTTTGTAATCATATATAATTATTTGTAATAATGATAACAAGTCTTGAGAATTTAAGTATTCCTCAAATTTAAGAATTGAGACTTTCAGATTCTTAAATGATAAGGATGAATTAGAATTGTCTTGTGATACATGGAAGAGAGCATGTCTATATATAGATGGTGTGCAACCGCCATGATCCAGTCAATTGAAATTCAGTTAAATTTTTTCTTAGCGAGTTTGTTTTAATGAATATTGCACAATTTAAGTTTTTATCAATTCATCAAGAATCACATGACCAATTGAGAGAATGTTAGAATATATTTAGTTAATAATTAATATTCTAATAATAGTCATGTAATTGGAGGTTATATATTATTATTAGAAATCATATAATTCTGGACCTTCAATTGGTTTAAAGATAGGTTGAACCTATATTTGAGTCTATCTAAGATTAGGTTCCCTAACCCTCTCCTCCGCCTCTATATATATGCTTATTCCGTATGGAATAATAACACAAGATAACTAAGAGAACTCCACCTGTCAAGAATCTCATAAGGAAAGAGACTAAAAGAGATAACGCAATTTATTCCAGTTCATTCATCTATAATGGATCCAAGTATTCCTAAATCTCAATCTATCAGGTAATTTCCTAAATTACTACTACTTCAGTGTGATGCAAAGCATGATTCCTCTTTAAATATAATCTCAAAATACTGCTCAAATCAGCTCTGGTTAACAAAAGTCGCCAACTAAATTGACGATTTTCTGCTAGGGAAGAAATGACGCGCGAAGCTACCTAGCACAGAGTATCAAGTACTACGGAGTAGTATATGAGAAGCTAGCATGATTTCTTGGGAGTTGGGACTAGTCTTATACTAAAAAAGCCTCTCTTTTTATCAGTATAACTGTTTTATTTGTTATCAGATTTTTACAAAAAAATATATCAAAATTCATAATTTTCATTATCTTTCATATGAAAAAAAATACTCATTATCTTTCATTGCATATATAAAAAATAAATAAAAATAAATGTAAAGATATGAGGGGTGGGGGTTTTTAGGCTCATTTCTTATGTAGACCTAATTCTAAAATTAAGATATTATTGAATAGCGCAATTTCATGCTGAAATTAGGAGACATTTTATTTGTTGGATGATAGTGTAGCTAAAGGGACATCAAGTTCAGAAACATTTTATTTAAAAACCACAACACAAAATGCATAAACAAAACAAATAACTGTGTTGGGATATTAGATTCCTGTTATTTGTTTTGTTTATGCAATTTGTGCAACCAAATTTTGGGCAACATAAACCAAATTTTGGGCAGCATAGGAAAGTTGGGAGCGAGGGATGAGATACAATGCGATCATAGTGGAGAAACTAGATAGCATCATCAGTCAGGGTGCCAGACGCTCAATTTTCCAACCTCGCTTTCCACCCATCTCTTCTAGAGAATAACGCAACCTGTAAATAATTTGCACCCGAGTAATCATCTATGGGGTCTACTCAACGTACTAATCAGGATTACACTACCAAAATATTTGGACACATAAAAGTTGCCCTGAATGGTTTTGTTAAATTGTGTGGGTATCTGACCTCATCATGGGCAGCCCCCCCCCCCCCCCCCAAATCTGGTGTGATATGCAGCCTGCTAGTGGGGACAACTAGCCCCAGGCCAGCATTGACCATCGATCTTACATCACACCAGATGTTACACTTCAATTCTCACAATACAATTTCATGATGTTACAGTTCCACACTTCCACTTTTGCACTTCATTAACTGAGTCACCAGGAAACAAGGAAGAATGGATTTTAATGTGTACCTATCATGCAAACGAGATTGTTGTCCTTGCCAAAATTCAAACGATTTAGGGTTGAGTCGGTACCCTCCCCAGTTCGTTGGTTTAGGAATGATCACCGTTCTGCATAGTGCAACACAATCAACTTCTTACCATTAAGGCAGTCTGATTTATTTTGAACAACATAAGGTAATACGAAAATATAAGCCCATCCAGCACCAAACCCATGGTACATACTTGATACATCTGTCCAATAAAAATAGCTTGTATCTACTATCGTTTTCTTATTCTTTCTTACACAGAATTGGCAGTGCATAATCCATATGAAGAAAATTGAAGAGGATAGAAGAGGGCCACTGTGCCTTTATTTATTTATTTATTTATTTATTTATTTATTTATTTATTTATTTATTTATTTATTTATTTATTTTTGTCCTTTTATATTTATATTTTTGGCCTTCAACATATTCCGGATCGAGGGGCATTTTTGCCTTTTCATACGGGGTTGGGTGCAAAAACAAAGATTTTTAAAAATGGGGTGCAAAGTCAAATTCCTATGAAAAAATAAAATATATATTAGCCCTTTCACTTGAAAACATATGGATTAGAAGAATTGTTGACAAAAAGGCGTAGCGCAAATTTATAAATATGTTAAACTTTTATGTGCAATTTTTATGATACAAAGTGCATAGTGTGTGCATAAAAGTATATTAATGAGTATTAAAATGGCTATCATATTTTTAACTAATGTACATTTTTATTTCAAGTTCCGATTCACTTTTGAGATGTACATGTACACAATTAGTAATTAGTATATATTGTGGTCCTTGTTACTGTAGCTTCGTTTCAATTTTTGCATATTTAAATGAGCAAGATTAGTTCTTAATTTTCATCCAAGAAATAATTTCTATTATAACTAAACAAAAACATCAAAGCCTTATTCCCAAAAGATTTTGGGGTCGGCTAAATCTTTATTATAACTAAATTTTATATAAATATAGGCTCAGATTTTGGTAAGAATAGGTCTTCCTTCCCGTGAGAAATGAGTGACCAAAACGATGCACATTTTGATTCGTGACGCGGTGACGGTGCGCGTTTATAATTATGATAGCGCACAATTCAAATTGGCAGAAAATGATTAATTTATTCACAAAAAATATCACCTCATTTTGTAATTGGTGGCTGTGCATATTTCTCTTTCATTAATGCACAATCCCAAAATCCAACACACTAGATTCATTCTCATTTTTTTCCTTAAATCATGATTTCATTTGATCCAAATTATACACACACACATATTAACATATACTACATATGTATTAGATCAAATGAAAATGCAACCTAATGAGATATGAGTATGAATCTGGTGCATTTTTTTCATACTTCCAAAAAAAAGTATGAATCTGGTGCATTAGTTTTCAAGTTGTGCGTTATCTGAAACAGAGATATTGCATTGTTATTAATCGGAAAATGTTGTGGCATTTTTGTAAATAAATTGAACTTTTTCTACCATTTCGGACTGAATTATCTTAGCCAGAAATGAGAAATGTGTACTGCCATGAACCAAAATGTGCACCATTTTGAACCATCCTCATTTCTCAAAAGAATGACTATTCTCAATTCTCACTAGAATAGGGTCATACACAAACACACACACGTATATAATTCAAATATAAAAAGTGAAAGTGTAAAAGTGCGAACTGCACTTTTACTCAGCTATACCGCACATGTGGTGATCTAATGCACTCTACACAGTGATAAAAAGTGAACTTTTCAGGGGGGAATCGTGACAATTTTATAAACAAGCGAAGTTTTTCAAATGTGAAAAAGTACAACATCTGAACATACAAGTGCATCATAGTGCTATGAAAGTAAATACTTCACATTTCACACGTTAAGCACCTTTTCACTGAATGACATTTTTTATTTGAACTAAAAGATTATTAGAAAATTTCATTACTTGAAATAGCAGTTATCATAGCAAAAACAATTCACCAAACCATATTTAAACAGACAAAACAAACTAGATCATATCAAAAAAATTCAATCCAAGTAAAAAACATTCCAAGTTTTCATTTTTCTTTAGGAGGTATCCCAAAATTAAGGATGTTTTTAATTGGACCGGTTTCTGTCCCAGACAAGATTAGACTTAAATAGTTGTAAAATACACATATAATAGACATTCACTGGACTCAAAAATGAAACTTTGTGTGTGCTATGGATTGATTGAAAAAATGATGAAGATTAAAAGTTCACATAATAAGGAGGAGCTCTCATTTTAAAAGGAGTTCTCACCAGAGCCCTCCTCTCTGTATGTATTTATATATATACTCCATTTGTCCCACTATCTTTGTCCCATCTTTTTTGTTTGTCTCATACCATATTAGGTACTCCCTCCATCCCATTTTGATTATGGTACTTTCCTTTTTGGGTTGTCATAAAATGAATGTCATGTTTTCCTTTTTGGCAGGAAATATGTGTTCCATATCATTTCACTTTATTCTACTCAAATCTCAATTACAACTTTTACTTTTCAAACACTTTATTAATAATTATGTCAAACTAAAACAAGGCATCCCATATGGGAGAGAGGTAGTACTGCTTGTGTGGTTCAAACTCACTCTTACTTTATTCTTACTTTACCAATTCAATACCAATTATATTTAAAATACTTTTCTTAATAATCCCACCATTTCCTTATGACCCAAACTCCTAATATTAGTGGGACGGAAGCAATGTGTATGTGTGAGTGTGTTTTGAGATTTTACATGTCAACAACAAAAACAACATCCAAACCTTGTTACCAAAATATTTTGGTTTGAGATTATACACATAAGAATAAGTATTTAGTCTTCATTTAATAAAACTCAATATAGATACACGAGCACACAAATAGAAAAAAAAAACTAATTTATTTCCTTTCAATTTTCAACCCTATTTCCTTCCCTTGAATTTCCAGGTTAAAAAACACAGAGCCGGAAAATGTGAAGCAAAGTTCAAAGTAATTAAAAAGGTCGCACATGCATTGGATGATGACTAACCTTTCGGAGTACTTCATTTCCAACTCTCTGTACGCTTGGTAAAGAACATCGCGTCCTGGAATTACTGTGCTCTAAGTTATTTATTTTACTTATTTAGTAAATTGAAAGTAATGGAGCTATTGACATATGGAATGTAAGAGTCAAATATGGATGAGAAATAAATGACCTGATTGCTAGCTATGGCTCCAATCTGACTTCCCCGTGGACGGCTATGGAAGTATTCTTCAGATTCCTCATCAGATACTTTTTGTACAGATCCTTCTATTCTTACCTGCAAACCGAAGATAAAAAGAATTGTTAAAGTATTTGTCTCACACCGGAAAACTATAAAACAAATTTAACACTATATAAGGCTTTGAGCTACTGATACCAGCGAAGGAGATAGTAGTAGGAGCCATAACCAACCATCTAGAAGGAGATAACGTTAAAATATTGTCATGCACAATCCAAAACAAACATTTGCTAATTTGTTTATTTATGCCTGTTTAGTCCTTTTTGCCTTTTACCACATGTTTACATCGTTTGTTTTAGGCTATATATTTATTTGTTGTTTAAAAAAAAGGCTTTGGGCTACTCCTCCTATCAGGTTGACCTTTTAGAATGGAACCTCAGGTCTTAACATGGTATCAGAGCAAATTCCGGTTGTGGTTTGACTGCTTGTTTAGCACCCATGATTACGGGTAGCTTGTTAAGGGTATGTTTGGCTCATTTATACACCCCGATATTGTCCAGCCCGCTTGTTTAGCACCCATGATTACGGATAGCTTGTTAAGGGTATGTTTGGCCCATTTATACACCCCGATATTGTCCAGCCCGATTCGGGCTGAGGGGGAGTGTTAAAGTATTTGTACTACACCGGAAAATTATAAAACAATAAAAACACTATATAAGGCTTTGGGTTACTCCTCCTATCAGGTTGATCTTTTAGGATGAAATCTCAGGTCTTAACAAGAATTATTCCACTAACCTATCGGCACCCTTATTTCAATTAATATCACACAAAATCAATTTTCTGAACACTAGTTCTTAGAATTATATTATTTGTTAATTCAAGAAATCCCATTTGGACTTTTTAGTGAGAACATCAACAGGAGCAAGCGAGCGAGCGAGCGAGCAAGCAAGCAAGAGTTTTTATTTGTAGGAACATAGATTGAAATGCGTAGGAACATAGATTGAAATGCGTATGTTTGACCTGGCGGTTTAAACCATCCCAGTAAAAAAGCAGGGCAGCGTGAGGGTTTTCGTAAATTTCCCGAGCTTTGCGACTTTCATAATTGGTATACCTGGACCCAGAAATAATTATTCAAAAAAAATGTAAAACCGTACATTGAATAAATCAGGCAGGACTATGTAGTGGGACAAGAAAAAGGATAACTAACCACACAAATCCATTTTTGCCAACTCCCTTTAGCAATACGATTCTTGAAGAACTAACCATAAATACCAAAAAAAAATGTTATGGTCTAGTTATAAGTATAAAGTATTCCATATATTAAACTTAACCTTAATTTTGTTAGAGTTCCTTCGGGTTTTTTTCAAAAATAGCAGATAAACAAGAGAAGATAAAATATGAACATAAAGATGCACACGAGTTGATAGAGGTATGATGCCAAATAATATCGAAATGTGATTTTGAGAAGAAAGTATTACTGCAAGATACTCACGGTTTTCCGTCTTTTCCAGTTGTGGACAATGCCATAGCATTTGGTTCCTTCAGTCCAGCTGCCAACGCATCATCAAACCACTTTTCGAACTACAGCAAAAGAGTTTGTATTTGAAAACAAACAATTATTTGTCCTTTCTTGTTCTACTTACTTTATTTTGTTTTGCTTTAGAGTCTAAGTAGAATCAAGTTATCAGAATTATATGACGTATATATACTCATGACAAACAAGGGAAACCGTTTAAGAATCCCCACCTTAACAAAGAATTCATGCTACTAGCCTACTACCTTTGTCAAACAAAAAGTCTTGTTTGACCGAGATACAACTTTCAAATTTTGGTAAAGGTAAGAGCTGCTAAGTCATAATCATACTATTTGCTCCTGTCGCACAAAACTTTGACAACTTTCTTTTTTTAATCGTCCCAAAAAACTTTGGCAATTCCATTTAAAGCACTCCCTCCGTGCCGCTAAGATTGTCCCCTTTTTCCTTTTCGGTCTATCCCACGAAGATTGTCTCATACCAGATCTGGTAAAATTTGTGTGATTCTAAATCATACTTACTTTATTTTTACTTTACCAATTCAATATCAACCACATAAACTCACTTCTTAATAATCACACCACCTCTCCATATCCCAATTTTTGTTGAAGTTATTTTTCTCTCATGTGTATAGATCTCAACCACATAATTTCTACTCTATTATTTCACATACAAGTCAATTTTGGCCAAGTTTTACGGGATGGAGGGAGTAACATCTATTGTCGTTTAACTAAATGTATCACACGCACAGTTGCACACTAACTATTTTTTTGTAAACTACCTTAAAAACTAAATTCTTTTGATCAAACAGAGTTGTTTTTGGGACAAATATGTTTGAAATATGACCTTTTTTAGAGAATGGGGGTGTTTTCTAAAGTAATATACTCTCTAATCACATATACATAAAACTCACCTGATCAAAGGGGTCTAACTCAACCTTCTCCTCAAGCAGCTTGGGGGATATGTAATCCTCCCTTAGAGATGATATGTCAATTTTTGGGGGCTTTCCAATACGAAGGCACAATGATGTTCCAGGATATGAGGGCAAAAGGAGTTTAAATTTGTCAATAACTGATGGTGGAACAAATCTTCCACCAAGAAAGTGGTGTGGGCCACAGTAGTTTTTGGCGCACAACTTAGGAGCAGTTAAAGAAACCTATAAAATGTAAAGACTCTTTCAGATTACATCATGTTCAGAGATTAGGTTCCTGTTTGGTAATGGTTTTCGGAAAGTAAAATCATTTGGTAAAAAAATTGAACAAAATGAGCAAATCACAGGATATTATTTGGTTGATGAGCAGATTAAGGTGATTAATGTTACCAAACGAGGCCAAGATTCATAAGAAAAATGAACAAGATGTGTATCTGTACAGACAAGCATGTCGGGTTTAATGCCATCATTACTAAGATCTCCTTGTTCAACATGCCATCCAGATGGAATATCAATAGACACAATAGCCGGTGACTTCTTATGACTTGGCTCATTACTTTGTAATGCTACAAGCCTCCGAATTAGGTCGTCAAAAGGTGCTCTTGGGACACCTGGATTTGGATAGAATCATAGAATAACATAATTCTAGCAAATAATTTAGGGGCAATGAAAGAAATAAGAAAGACATCATGGGGAGGACTATAGATTTGAGTCATTTGACAAAAATGACCTTTTAAGTAACAAAGGGTGTGTGAGTTGCGCTCTCTCACTCAACTGAAGGGTGATTGTGATGTTCCCTGAGTCCTTCTATGTCCCTACCCTTAATCTACATCTAGATATGGGTATGTTGCATGAGGAATGCGATCTGGATCCGGTGAATTGTGGTCCACATTGAATCCACAACCTCTGTGAGGTACTCAAGTAATCCTACTTCTCCGCATCCAATTTGAACCGTTGGTGAAGAAACTTCATGGCCAAGTAAAATATTTGGGGGTTGAAATCTTGAAGAGAATATGAGAACATAAAGGCTCTGTTTGTTTTAATGGAAAAATAACGTCGTAGACAATGATTTCTGAGAAAATGTTTGCAGTGGAAAATCTTTACTTGGAAAATAAGTTGTATATATTATATATAATGTTTAACCCAAGAAAAGACAGAAAACATAAATCTGAATCAAGGCTGATCAGAAAACATGTCTGGTACCAAACACACAAAAATCTTGTAAATAAACTTAGCCTAAGTTTCATGCTGATCCTTTTTGAGGGAGTGTATGAGTAGATGAAGAGAGACGAACAAAGAACTCAAGAAGGGAGAAAAATTACCATGGAAGGAGAATCCAAACATAGCATCTAGAATAATATCAAAGTTCTGTGATAAGTCCTTTGGAAGATCTTCCACAGACAAGAAAGAAATTGAGAGCGTCTCAAGCTACAAAATAAGGCACCCATATGCATTAGAGATACACACACATGTGCGCATGCTTTCCTCTAAATTGGGCCACATCCATACCTGAGTCACTAAACCACTATAAAGAGCCTTGGCAGTGCGCTTAGGGTAACATATAATTGGCTTGTAACCAAAGTGATGAAGATGGCGAGCCGCTACAAGGCCATCACCACCATTATTCCCTGGACCACAAATAGCAAGGACTCTACTGTATTCACTGGGTTTATAGACCTGTTCAAGCAAAAAAAAATCTCATCTGTAAACATATACTCCCTCCATCCCATAAAATTTTTCTCACTTACCATCCCCTTTTGGAAAATTCTTCCCATTTCCCCTTTTGGAAAATTTTGTGGCTAACATTCTTTTACCTTTTTCTTACTCAACCACAACCATACATTTTCACTTTATTCTCAATTTCTTAAACTCCAATCCAAGTCAAACCGGGAAGAATTTTATGGGATGGAGGGAGTAATAGTTTTCAGGGAAGTCTTCTTTCTCTAGCAGTTAAACTCGCAGCAGCCCTTAATCAAAGAACCGTTATATACTAGATGCGCTGTATAAATTGAACAAATATAAAGTATAAAAAAGAACTATCATCCTATTTTTCCATATTAGGCATCTTAAATGTACTCCCTCCGTCCCAGGGAGAAGTTCCCGGGTTGACTTTCACACATATTAAGGAAATAAAGTTACTGAGGGGTAAATTTTACTGTTTGGCACTGTTTCGACACTGTTTGGCACTGTTTCGACACTGTTTGGCACTGTTTTGCACTGTTTGGCACTGTTTTTATGTAGGATAACTTTCCATTTAAGGAAATGGGAACTTTTTGTTGGGACTGCCAAAAAAGGAAATTGGGAACTTCTCTCTGGGACGGAGGTAGTATAATTTCTAAAAAAGAATCTAAATAAATAATTAAAGAAACTTTTATATTCATGAATAAAGTATTAGAGCGGTAAAACCCAAACTAGGATGAGGAAGTCACCCTTTTTTCTCATTCTCATATAAGAAATATATCATTAAAATCGTCCATTCAACATATCCCATGACTTCTTTCTTCTTTCCCATTCTGGACACCAGTGGAACCCCATCACTTCATGAGTTCTTTTTAACATGTTTTTAATTGGACCGATTTCAGTTCCAAATTAGACCAAACTTAAACAGACCAGACCAGAATTCGATAATAGTGAAATACACATAAAATCGAGATCTACGAGACTAGGTCAAAAAAATTCAGTCTAATTAAAAACATCTCAATTCTCAATTTGAAACCATATTATAGTTATATAACTATAATACTATATAACTATTCAACGGGGACTCCGGCATTAGTGGAAGAAGAACTTGATAGAGTTCTGATATCGGATATGTGGACAGATTTGAAGAAGCCAAGGCAAATGCTTGTTTATATAGAATTTAAATCCGAGCAATGGGTTAGCAGGCGTAGGAAGTTTAAATTTGAGAACTTCTGGCTCCTAAAGATGATTGTCGGGAAGTAGTGGAGAGGAGTTGTGGTGTTGGCAGAGCTGAGGGGGTGGTCAGTCCATAGTTACAGAAATCACTGAGGTACCCGCATTTTGCGTTACGGATCGTGCGTACCGGATCGCGGTACAGTTGCGCGCTGGTCGCTGCTGGGTCGCGACTCAGGTACGGCGGATTTCGGTCGCAGTTCGCGCTTCACTTGCAGGTGGTTAGCACTTCGCCGTATCCCTTTTGTCGTTCGCGAGTTTCCTTAAGCGGACGACGATCCAGCGACTTCTAAAGTCTAAACGACTCTTTCTTCTGAAATCAAAACGACCGACTTTCGTACTTCTTTTCAGACTCCAAAGAGACGGTTTAATGGTTCAAGACTTTCGTACTCAATTCCACGGTTCAGAACCTAGAGTCCGAGACTTCATTCTTAATATTTTAATTACTTTTGTTAATTATAGTTACTTTATTTGTTTAAGTACTTCAGTCTTTTCAATAAAAAAAAGTACTTCAGACTTTTGTTTAATGTTTTAGTGAAGTTAATTGTTTAGTACTATTATTATATTATATTTATTACATTTATAGTTTGTACTTGATACACAGTAAATTGCAGGTAGTATATGTTTATGGTACACCGTACCGCGTACCAAAATAGCATACCGAAGAAGCCTGCCTACCCCCCCCCACGTATCGGATTTTTTATATTAGCGAACCGCATTCCCGTTTTCGTACCGCGTACCGATGCGTACCGCGATCCATGTGACTATGGGTCAGTCAGGTCACTCATGTGGAGTATTGTGTGAAGGAAGTGGGGAGGAGGGGATAGACGAGAGGGGAAGTTTCAGTAGACAAGTGGATTATTGTAGGAGAAGGATTCAATCTCTAAGAAAGAAAACAGATGCAGAAAGTATGAGAAATTATGGAAAGTAAAGAAAGAATACCTCCAGGTGCTTGCAAAACAAGACCAATGTTGGCGGCAACGAGCGAAAGCTTTTTGATATCAGGGTGGGGATATGAATACCAAATATTTTCATACTACAGTGAAACAAAAAGGAGAGCAAATAAGACGGTGGGGTTGGGAGGGAGCTTGGTGAAAGGAAGGTTGGAGATGGCAGAGCTCATTGGGGAGTTTTTCTCTAACTTGTTTACTTCTTTGCAGGGTTCTCCAGAGTGTATTCTCTCGGGAATGACGAGGAAGGTTTCTGCAGCTCACATTGTATCATTTCTTGTTAGAGACTCAATGCAGTCGAACAAGGAAGACAAATATTATGGAAGAGTCTATTCTAGAAGGAGGGAGAGGGGTAGTTATTAGTTATGTTCTGTTATTAGCTAATAACCGTAAGTGGTTGTTCACTTACTATAAATAGAATTGACTGGGGGGATTTCCCAGTAGGCTGTTAGACTGTTTAGTCAGAACTGGGAAGATAGAGTTTTAGCTCTATACTTTGGGGGCTTCGGCCATTGTAGCTATATACATTCTCAATAAAACTGTGGAGTTCTTGTAATCTTGTTGGTGTTATTACTGTGAATCTCTAGTGTTTCTTACAGTGGTATCAGAGCACGACGATCTCTGGATGAGATATACTCGTGCTAAGATGGACGGAAGAATGACAGACATGGAGAGAAACTTTACTGATATGGCCAGGAATCAGAGAGAATCAGCGGCAAGGCAAGATACACTGGAGACGATGATGGTAGCTATGCAGGCGAGTCTCGCGGATATCCAAAGTCGCCTTCCAGGTCGTGCGCGAAGTAGGTCGCAGGCCTCCTCAGCTTCGCATCGCACTTCTCACCGTCATCGATCACGCCATTCAGAGAATGATGACGTATCGGAGGGAGACTCAGATCATTCATCACATCGTAATCACAGACATCACAGGGAACACCATCCTCGTCGCCGAACAGGAAGGAAGATCGATTTGCCATTGTTTAATGGAGATGATGCCTACGGTTGGTTGGTTAGAATCGACAGATATTTTCGTCTCAATCAGATTGAGGAAGACGAGAAGTTGGATGTTGCGGTGGTTGCTATGGAAGTCCGCGCACTGAGTTGGTTTCAGTGGTGGGAGAATCAGACGAGAGAAAGGAATTGGGACGCTATGCAGGAAGCTCTAACGCGAAGATTCCAACCAGAGTTGGTACGTAATCCGTTGGGACCTCTATTAGGTCTAAAGCAAAAGGGAACTGTGAAGGAGTTCCGAGAACAATTTGAGATGGCTATAGCATCTCAAGGCGATCTAAGTGAGAAGGTTACAAGAGGTATTTTCTTAAATGGCTTGAAGAAGGACATTAGAGCTGAATTGAAGCTTTACAGCACAAGAGATTTGGCAGAAATCATGGATACAGCTCTATTGATTGAGAATAAGAATTTTGAAATAATGTCTAGGAGAAATAAGGAAGAAGGGAAGAAGGTGTGGAAGAGCAGCAACGCTGGGAAACAAGGTTACAATCATTGGGGAGATGGCAGTAGAAAAACTTACAACCAGGCCTCTACCAATCCATCAGTGAAGGATTCAGTTGATAATAGGAGGCAGGAGGAGGGATCTAATTCTATTTCTAAGAAATTAGGTCCTAGATTGTCACAGAATGAGTTGTTGGAAAGGAGTAAAAAGGGACTTTGTTTCAAATGTGGGGACAGATGGAACCGAGGCCATGTTTGCAGTATGAAAAGCTTTAAAATGATGTTGGTTGAACAATCTGAAGGGGAAGTAGAATCTGACATGACTTCTAGTGATGAAGGAGAGGATGAAGAAACAAAAATGGAAGCTAAAACACTGAAATTATCTGTCCTGAGTCAGGAAGGGATCCCATCCATGAAAACTTTCAAGGTTCTGGGTAACATCAGATGGGGAAATCATCAGCAACAAGTGAATATTCTGATTGATTGTGGGGCTACTCACAATTTCATCTCTCAAAGATTGGTGAACACATGGCAGATACCTTATAGGTGTATTAAAGGCTACAAGGTGCAGATAGGGAATGGGGAATTTCTTCCCAACAATGGCAGATGTGAAGAGGTAGCTTTGGAGATACAAGGCAACCAGATTGTACAGCAATTCTACATTTTGGACTTGGGTGGAATAGATTTGGTGTTGGGAATGGAGTGGTTAACAGATCTTGGGGATATGGAAGTCAACTTCCAGAATCAAATTCTTAAATGGAGAAGACAGGATCAGGTGTATACTATCAAGGGAGATATAGCCTTGAATCAGATGGAAGTTTCATTGAAGTCTATCACTCACATTTTGCAGAATACAGGAGATGGCTACTTGTTGCTTTGTGAAGGTAAAGAGCAGAATTCTCAGTCCAATCTAGATGAGGATGAAACCTGGAACAATATAATTGGTGAGTTTCCTGAAGTCTTCAAATCAGTGTGGGATTTACCTCCAGAAAGACCATGTGACCATGCCATAAATATTATAGAGGGAGCCAGTATACCTAATCTGCGGCCATACAGGTATACTTATGATCAAAAAAATGAAATTGAAAAGATTATACAAGAAATGCTTTCTTCTGGGATTATCAAACACAGTAACAGCCCTTACAGCAGCCCCATACTATTGGCCAAGAAAAAAGATGGTGGGTGGAGATTTTGTGGTGATTATCGAGCATTAAATAAGGTGACTATTCCAGATAAGTTTCCTATACCAGTTATAGAAGAACTTTTAGATGAGTTAGGAGGAGCTAAAGTGTTCTCAAAACTGGATTTGAAATCAGGATATCATCAGATAAGAATGAAGAAAGCTGATGCCCATAAAACAGC